GTGATAAAAGACACGGCCAAAAACCCACAAACACATGACAATTGAGTAACAAACTTGAGCAATCAGTGGGTCACAGAGGAAATTAAAGAAGAAATTAAACAATATCTACAAGCAAATAAAAGTACAAATGCAAATTAGCAGAATCTGTGGGATGCAATGAAAGCAGTCTTCAGAGGAAAATTTATCGTACTTAATTCCCACATCAGGAAAACAGAATGAACACAAATAAAGAACCTGATGCTACACCTCAAACATTAAGAAAAAGAAGAGCAAGTCAAGCCCAAAGCCAAAAGAAGGTTGGAAATTATAAATATCAGAGCAGAAATCAATGCATTAGAGACTAAGAATGCAATACAAAAAATGAATGAATCAAAGAGTTAGTTCTTTGAAAGAACAATAAACTTTGTAAGCCCCTAGGCAACTTTACTTAAAAAAGGGAAGAAAAAACTCAAATTCATGCAATAAAGAATGAAAAGGGTGAAATCACTGCACACCCTCTGGGAATACAGAAGATCATCAATACCTATTTAAAAAACCTCTCCTCTCGTAGGTTCGATAACACAGAAGAAATGGACAGATTCCTGGAAATACATGAGCTATCAAAGCTGGGTCAAGAAGATGTAAAGTGGCTAAATAATCCAATTTCAATCAATGAAACTGAAAATGTAATTAAGTCCTTACCAACAAAGAAGAGCCCAGGCCAAGATGGAATCACTGCGGAATTCTACAAGAAATACCAAGAAAACTTAATGCTGACACTCCTCAAACTCTTCAATGAAATCAAAAGGGAAGCAATTCTTCCTAAGTCATTCCTGGAAGCAAATATTACTCTAATACCAAAACCTGAGAAAGACTCAACTAAAAAAGAGAACTACCGGCCAATCTTTCTAATGAACATAGATGCATAAATTCTCAATAAAACATTGGCAAACAGGATGCAGCAAATCATCAAGAAGATTATACTCCATGACCAAGTGGGATTCATCCCAGTCATGCAAGGATGGTTCAACATACATAAATCAAGTAACTAACCATATCAATAGAGCCAAAAATAAGAATCACATGATCATTTCTATAGATGCAGAAAAAGCTTTTGATAAGGTCCAACACTCAATCATGATAAGAACCTTACAGATAATTGGAATAGATGGTCTTTACCTCCATATGATAAAGGCTATTTATGGCAAACTAACAGCAAGCCTCATATTAAATGGCCAAAAACTGAAAGCCCCTCCCTTAAAATCAGGCCCAAGACAAGGATGTCCTTTATCACTGCTTCTATTCAACATAGTACTGGAAATACTAGCCAGAGCAATTAGACAAGAGAGAGAAATAAAAGAAGTAAGGATGGAAAAAGAGAAAGTTAAATTATCATTATTTGCAGATGACACGATACTCTACATAGAAGACCCCCAAAACTCCATTGAAAGACTCCTATATATACTAAATAAAATCAGTAAATGTAGCTGGATGCAAAGTTAATGCTCAAAAATCAATAGCATTCCTAGACACTAACAACAAAATCACTCAGAGAAAAGTAAGAGAAGCCACATCCTTCACAATAGCATCCAAAAAATGAAATACTCAGGAATTAATCTAAGGAAAGAAGTAAAAGATCTATTCAGGGAAAATTATAACACCTTGCAAAATGAAATAGAAGAAGACCTCAGAAAATAGAGATACATACCTTGTTCAAGGATAGGAAGAATAAATACCATGAAAATGGCCATTCTCCCAAAATTGTTATATAGATTTAATACAATCCCAATCAAAATACCACTAGCATACCTCATAGATCTAGAGAAGTCACTCCTAAAATTTATCTGGAGCCAGAAGAGACCTAGAATAGCAAAAGAAATTCTAAGTAGCAAAGGCAAGGCAGGAGGCATCACAATCACTGACTTGAAATTATACTACAAAGCTACTGTAATAAAATCAACATGGTACTGGAATAAAAACAGACATGGAGATCAATGGAATGGATTAGAAGATATAATTACAACCACAAACACACCACTCATGCACCTTATCTTTGATAAAGGAGCCAAACACATTCACTGGAAAAAACAGTAGTCTCTTTAATAAATGATGCTGGAAAAATTGGCTCTCCATATGCCAAAAATTAAAACTAGACCCATGCCTATCACCATGTACTAAACTAAAGTCTAAATGGATCAAAGATCCTAATGTTAAAACAGAAACACTATATCTATTGGAAGACAAAGTAGGTAAAAATCTTGATGACATAGGGGTAGCTAGAGAATTCATGAGCAAGAATCAAAGCACACATGAAATACTTCCTAGAATCAATAACTGGGATCACGTCTTATTAAAAAGTTTCTGCACATCAAAAGAAATCTCCAGAATAATGAAAAGAAAACCCACAAACTGGGAAAAAATATTAGTGAACTCTCCCTCAGACAAAAGACTTCTGTCTAAAACATATAAAGAATTAAAAAAATCAGACCCCCAAAATTCAAAGATCCAATCCAAAAATGGGCATCTGAGATGAATACACAGTTCTCAGATGAAGAAATACAAATGGCAAATAGATACATGAAAAAATGTTCATCATCATTACGCAAATTAAAATCACATTGAGACTCCGTCTCACTCCTGAAAGAATGGCCAAGATCAAGAAAACTACCAATAACAAATGCTGGAGAGGCTGTGGGAAAAAGGAACTCTCCTGCACTGTTGGTGGGAATGTAGACTAGTGCAACCACTGTGGAGGTCAGTCCGGAGATTTCTCAGAAAGCTGGGACTGGAAGCCCCATTTGACCCAGGTATACCACTTCTAGGCATATTCCCAGAAGAACTGAAAGCATCATACCACAGTGATATATGTGCACCCATGTTTATAGCAGCACAATTTGTAATAGCCAGATCTTGGAAACAGCATCAACTTAGGAATGGATAAAAAAGTTGTGGTATTTTTATACAATGGAGTACTACTCAGCTATAAAGAATGATTGCATTGAGATATTTATAAATAAATGGATGCAACATGAGACCATACTCATAAGCTAAGTAAACCAAACTCACATGTATAAATACTGTATCATCTCCCTAGTGTAAGAAATGGTAAGAGTACATAAGATTTTAAGGTAATCATGGTTCCCTATTATATTGCTTTGAAGCCTTATAATGTTTTCATTCATTTGTTGGAATGGTTTTATTCTGTTTTGTTTGATTTTATTATGTTTGATAGTATGAACAGCTACTTTGAAGAAAACAAGACATTTTGATAGCCATTGCTGATTTAATATCATCTTGCTTTGAAGTCCTACCACGTGTTTGTTCTTCTTTTTCCACTGGTTCTATTATGTGGTGTCTTGTTGGATTTTAATATGTGTGATAGTACAAATTTTTTATGGAAAATGAAATGTTATAGAAGCCATTGTTCATTTTCTGTTATTTGGTTTTGAATGTCTGTAATACTTTCATTCCCATGAATGGTGCTATACTATTCTATTTTGTTTGATATTATTGGGTGTGAAGATATGCTCAACTACTTCAAAGAGACATTATGGTAGTTACTGTTCATATCTGGTTGTCTCGTGAAGTGCTGTGTTGTTTACATTGTTCAATTCTGATTTGTTTTGTTCTGTCCTCTTTTGTGTTATTCTCTTTAAAATAAATAAATAAAGAAAATACAACTTATTTTTTATTCATTCCTCAGTTGATAGGCATTTAGATTGTTTCCAAGATTTGGTTATTACAAATTGTGCTACTATAAACATGGGTGCACATGTATCACTCTGGTATGATGTTTTCAGTTCTTCTGGGAATACACCCAGAAGTGCAATAGCTGGTTCAAATAAGACTTCCAATCCCAGTTTTTTGAGGAATCTCCAGACAGATTGCCACAGTGGTTGCACCAGTCTGCACTGCCACCAACAATGCAGAATTCCTTTTTTCCCTGCAGCCTCTCCAGCATTTTTATTGGTAGCTTTCTTGATCTTGTTATTGGTGGTTTTCTTTTCTTTTGGAGTGAAATGGAATCTCAACATTGTTTTAATTTGCATTTCTCTAGTGATGAATGATGCTGAACATTTTTTCATGTATTTACTTGCCATCTGTATTTCTTCATATGAGAACTGTGTATTCATCTCAGATGCCTATTTTGGATTGAAGGATTTTATTTTTCAAAACTCTTTATATGTTGCAGATAAAAGTCCTTTATCTGAGTATTGTTGACTAAGTTTTGTTTCCAATTCATTGGTTTTCTTTTCACTCTGTTGGAGATTTTTTTGACATGCAAAAACTTTTCAATAACATGAGATCTCAGTTGTTGATTCTGAGAAGAATTTCCCATGCAGTTTAATTTTTGTTCATGAATTTTCTGCCTACCCCTACTTTGTCTTCCACCAGATGTAGTGTTTCTTTTTTTTTTTTTCTTTTATTTTAAAGGGGTAAAATTGAACACAACAAAACAGAACAAACTAGGACATAAGAAAGTAGTGTAAGAGATATAAATTTCAAAGCTAGATGACCTGAGATCTTCACTATCTATCATATTGTCTCTTTTTTCTTCCAAATACTTGTCCATGTCTTCGCATACAGAGAATTCATACAAAATGACATAGTATAAAAACTGATCCAAACAGAATGAGGAAGGCATTTTAGGTCTTCAAAACCAGACAACAAGGAAGTCACTAATGGCTGTCGTAGAGTCTCTTGTTGCCTTCAAAATAGCTGTCTATACTTTCACGTATATTGAAGTTTAGCAAAACAAAACAGGCAGGGGGGAGGAGTTGCTTGGTTTTCTGGTGCTCCACGTCCCAGCATGGTGCAGGTCCCAATAAATGCAAGTGGCTCCCATCCTGGGCTGCTGGATCCTGCCACAGTCACAGCTGCTCACTGAGGGGCAGGGGTTGCTTGGTTTCCAAGCGCCGGGTCCTAGAATGGTGCGGGTCCCAGTAATTGCTGGTGGTTCCTATCCTTGGCTGCCGCAGCCTGCCATGCTCACAGCTGCTCATAGGGTGGGGGTGGCTTCAAGCTGTTTCTTTCTAATGAATTCACCACTTCACTGCCCAAATTCTGAAATGGCCAAAAGACCATACAAAGACATCTTCCTTAGGCTCCCGCTTGAAACCAACAGCGTCAGAAAGCTGCGGGCCTTGATTCAGGGCCAGAGATTTAGTGTTTTTATTTACAATTTAGATTTTTTCCCCATTTTGACTTTAGTTTAGTGCATGGAGATAGACATGGTTGTAGTCCTGTTTTTCAGTAAATGGATGATCATTTTTTCCAGCACTAATTACTAAACATGTTCACTGGAAGAGGCTTTCTTTCAGTGAACATGTTTGGCCCCTTTGTCAAAGATAATGCGGCTGAGTATCTTTGTAGTTGTGGTTGTATCTTCTAATCTATTCCATTGTTTTTATTCTAGTAGTATGATGATTTTCTCACAGTAGTTTTGTAGTATAACTTCAAGTTAGGAATTGTGATGCCTCCTGCCCTGCCTTTGTTACCTAGAATTGGTTTTGCTATTCTAGGTCTCTTCTTGTTCCAGATGAATTTTAGGAACCATTTCTCTAAATCTCTAAATCTTAATGATATTTTAATTGGAATTGCATTAAATGTTATAATAATTTTGGGAGAATGGCCAATTTCTTTCTTTTTTTGATTTTTTTTTAATTTAAAAAATTAAAAGAAAGAAGGAGATTAAGATAAAAGAGGACATAACAACATAATAACACAGGTCAGAACAGAACAATTTAAGCAACATAGTGTTTTACCACAAAATAACCTGACATAACAGTAGCTACCATAGTGTCTCTTTCCTTGAAATATTTGAGTATAACTTCATATATTATAACATCAAACACAACATGACAGTGTAAAACCATTCAAGAGAATGAAAGTATTACAGGGTATTTAGAACCAACTAACAGAAAATGAACAATGGTTTCTATATTATACCTTGTCTATACAAAATTTTGTTTATACTATCACATATAATAAAATCCAGTAAGATACAACATGATAAACCAATGGAGATAGAAGAACAAAAGCTTCATGGGACTTCAAAACAAGATGATATTAAATCAGCACTAGCTTTTCTTCAAAATAACTGTTCATACCATCACAGACAATAAAATCAAACAACCCAGAATAAAACCATTCCAATTAATGGATGAAAACATTATAAAGTTTCAAAGCAATATAATGGGGAATCATGATTACCACATACTTTTATGTATTCTTACCATTTCTTACACTAGGGAAACTATTCGGTATTTATACATGTGAGTTTGATCTGAGAATGGCCATTTTCATAATGTTTGTTTTTACCTATCCATGAACAAGGAATGTCTTTCCATATTCTGAGATCCTCTCCAGTTTTTTTTCAGAGTGTTGTAGTTTTTCCTGAATAGATCTTTTATTTCCTTTATTAGATTAATTGCTAAGTATTTCATTCTTTTTGCATGCTATTGTGAAGGGTGCAGGTTCACGTATTTATCTCTCAGTGTGTTTGTTGTTTGTGTATAGGAATGCTACTGATTTTTGAATGCTGATTTTGTATCCAGCTACATTACTGAATTTGGTTATTACATGTAGAAGTCTTTCAATGGAATTTTGGGGATCTTCTATGTGGAATATATCATGTCATCTGCAAATATTAATAATTTAACTTCTTCCTTTCCTATACTTATTTTTTTGATTTATCTTTTTTGTCTAATTGCTCAGGCTAATGTTTCCAGCACTGTATTGAATAAGAGGTGATAATGCACATTTTTGTCTTGTTCCTGATTTTAGAATGGTTTTCAGTTTTTGAGCATTTAAAATGATGCTGCCTGTTGGTTTGTCATAGATGACTTTTATTAGATTTAGTTAAAGACTATCTATTCTAATTTTCCATAGAAATCTTATCATGAATGAGTGTTGGACTTTATCAAAAGCTTTTTCTACATCTGTTGAAAAGATCACATGAGTTTTAACTTTGGCTCTATTGATACTCTTATATTACATTTATTGATTTGCATATGTTGAACCAACACAGCATTCCTAGGATGAATCCCACTTGATCATGGTGTATAATCTTTTTGATTTGCTGCATTCTGTTTGCTAGTATTTTATTGAGGATTTGTGCATTAGGGAGATTGGTCTGTTGTTCTCTTTTTGTTTGGGTCTTTCTCTGTTTTTTTTTTTAATTAGGGTAATATTTGCTTCCAGGAATGAGTTAGAGAGAATTGCTTTCCTTTAAATTTCATTGAAGATTTTGAGAGGTATTCGAATTAAGTCTTCCTTGAGTTTGTAGAATTCCACAGTCAGTCTATCAGGATCTGGGATTTTCTTTATTGGTAAAGGTCTAATTATATTTTCAATTTCATTAATTGAAATTGGTTTATTAAGCAGTTTCACATCTTCTTGACCCAGCTTTGGTAATTCATATGTGTTTAGAAATCTTTCCATTTCTTCCATGTTATCAAACATATGAGAGTAAAATTTTTTGAAGTAGGCACTGATAATCTATATTTCCATGTCATGATTTTGCTCTTTCCATTCCTTACTGCATGAATTTGAGTTTTTTCTTTCCTGTTTTTAGTAAGGCTGGCTAGTGGCTTATCAATTTTATTTATTTTTTCAAAGAGCCAACTCTTTGATTCATTAATTCTTTGTATTGCTTTCTTAGTCTCTATTGCATTGATTTCAGTTCTGATCTTTATAATTTCCTCCCTTCTGTGGACTTTGGGTTAACTTGTCCTTTTTCTAGATGTTTGAAGTATAGCACTCATTGTTTATTTGTGTTCATTCTCTTTTTCCTGATGTGGGAATTCACCGCAATTAATTTCCCTCTGAAAATTGCTTTCAGTGCGTCCCACAGGTTCTGGGAAGTTGTATTTGTATTTTTGTTTGCTTGTTGATATTGTTTAATTTCTTCTCTAATTTCCTCAGTGATCCAGTGATTATTCAGGAGCATATTATTTAATTTCTATGTTTTTATGGAGTTTTTGCAGTTTGTCATTAATTTCTACTTTCATATCTCCATGATCAGATAATATGTTTGGGATAATTTTGATTCTTTTGAATTTATTTAAGTATGTTCTATGGACTGGTATATGGTCTATTTTAGAAAATGTCCCATGTGCACCTGAGAAGAATGTATATTCTGATGTTGGGTGGAACACTCTGTACACGTCTAAGTCTGTTTGTTCACATGTTTGAATCAGTTCAGTTACTTATTTGCTGATTTTTTTGTCTAGTTGACCTGTTTCTTTGTGGCAATGGGTGTTAAGGTCTCCTGTTACTGTGCTATTGTTTATTTGAGTTTTTGTTTCTATTAATATTTGTTTTATTTTTTTTTTTTTTGTCTTTTTCCTTTTTATTGGTACTGGGGATTGAACTCACGACTGCCTGCTTGCAAGGCAGGCACTTATGCCTGCTGAGCTAAATCCCCAGCCCCTTTAATATTTGTTTTATATAGTTTGGTGCTCCCATATTTGGTGCATGCATATTTAGGATTGTTAATTCTTCCTTTTGAAGTTTTCCTCTAACTAGTGTCTCTTTTGATCAATTGTGGCTTGAATTTCACATTTTCTGTAAACAGAATAGTTAAACTTGCTTTTTTGGGGATTCCACCTTTATGAAGCATTGTTTTCCATTCTGTGACTTTCAGTCTATGAGTTTCCTTTTGGGTAGGTGGGTTTCTTGTAGACAGCGTATGGCTGAACGTTGTTTCTTGATTCATATTGCCAATCTGTTTCTTTTAATTGGTGAATTAAGGCCATTTACATTAATAGATATAACCAATATATATTGACTTATTTTTGTCATGTTATCTTTCTGATGTTGGTTCTTTACCTTCCTCTTTGTTTAATTGTTTGCCTTATTTAGTTTTTTTTTTTTTTTTTTTTTTTTCTGTTGGTGGTCTTGAAGTCATAGTTACTTTTATGTCTATCTAGAATATATTCCAGCATTCTTTGCAGGTTTGGTTTGGTAGTCATGAAGGTTTTTTTAGCTGTTCTTTGTTGTGGAAATATTTGTCCATCAATTTTGAAAGGCAGTTTTTCAGGATACATCAGTCTGGGTTGGAAGTTGTTTTCCTTTAGGGCTTGAAATACTTCTTTTCACACTCCTCTTTACTACATTGTTTGTGCTGAGAAGTCTGCTGTGATTCTGATGGGTTTTCCTTTATAAATATTTTGTCTCTTTTCTCTAACAGCTTTTAATATATTCTTCTTACGCTGAATTTCTGGGATGTTGATTATTATATGTCTGGGTATAGGTTTGTTTTGGTTATGGTTAATTGGAGTTCTATACATTTCATTTATCTGTATGTCGGTTTCCTTTCCCATGTTTGGGAAATTTTTGGCTATTACTTCTATAAACAGTCTTTTGATATCATTTGTGTTATCACATTCTTTTTCATTTACACATATCAATATTATATTTTCTTTGCATCCTCTTGCAGTTGTTATTTCCTGATTCCTTGTTATTTTTAAATAGATCTTTCCTTGCTTGTTCCGTAGCTGCAATGTTCTTTTCTAGGTCTGAAAATCTATTGTCATATTCATTCAGGTAGTTTTGCCAGCTTTTGATGGAATTTTTGATTTTCTGGATATTTCTTTGAATCTGTTTCATGCCTTTTATTTTATTTTCTTGTATTGTTCATTTGAACTTTCTTTTTTCAGTGCTTCTCAATTTTTTTAACTACATCTTCTTTAGATGCCTTTAGCATTTCTTTTTTACATTTATCATTTCTTCTATTACCTGGAAGATTATTTCTGATCTGAGTCCCTTTACAGCTTCAGGGATTCAGTAGCTAACATTTCAGAAGTTTTAGGTGTATTATGGCTTACCCTTTTTTCCTTGTCCATGTCTCCTAGGCTTGTTTGGAATGGGCTGGCGGTTTGAGATTGCATTTTGTTCTTTTATCTTGTCATTTTGCTATATTCCACTGGGGAAGCTGAATGTGAGGTCTCAGAAGATTCCTGGGTTCAGGATGTCTGTCTGTACTGCAGGGAGTTCTCCCAGTTGAGTAGGGTCACTAGGCTGGCCTTACCAGGTCCTTAGTGGCACTTGCACACTCCTCAAATGTGGGTAGCATGCTGGGTGGGCCTTCAGGACAGCCATGTGCTCTCCAAAGCTCACTTGCTGCTTGAGGTCACTGTGTAGGACCCTAACAGGT